TATTTATTTGTTTTTTTATGATGTGAAAGTCAGATATACAGAGAGGAGGAGAGACAGAGAAGAAGATCTTTCATCCACAGATTCACTCCCCAAGTGGCCACAACGGCCAGAGCTGAGCCGATCAAAAGCCAGAAGCCAGGAGCTTCTTCCAGGTCTCCCACACAGGTGCAGGGTCCCAAGATTTTGACCCATCCTTGACTGCTTTTCCAGGCCACAAGCAAGGAGCTTATGGGAAGCAGGGACACGAGGACATGAGTCCTTGCCTGTGCAAAGTGAGGCCTTTAGCTGCTAGGCTACCATGCCAGACCCCATAATTACCACACTTTTTAAAATTTCCAGCTCTGGGAGAGTGTATGACAGCTCTCTGCTTCTTCTTTCTCCAAGATCTTGACTGTGCAGGACTCAGGAAATGCACACATGCATACTGCTATAATGTTAAGGATTCTGTTTTATTTTTATTTATTTATTTATTTTTGGAAAGCCAGATTTACAGATTTACAGATTTACAGAGAGAGACAGAAAGATCTTCTATCAGCTAGTTCAATCGTTAAGTGGCTGCAACAGCCAGATGAGCCAACCCGAAGGCAGGAGCCAGGAGCTTCTTCTGCATCTCCCACACAGGATCCCAAGGCATTGGGCCATCCTCTGCTGCTTTCCCAGGCCACATGTTGTGAGCTGACCAAATCTATCCCAGATATGAGTCAGAAGCTGACTTTTAGAAGCTCTGGAATCTTTATCCACCAGCTGGCACCAACAGGTGGACTGTCCCATTGCACCCCATGTGGAAAAGGGGAGCAGCCCTATTTAGCTGTGTTCAAGGGCTCTTAAGCAATGCTGATCCAATTAACTAAGGGAGCACTGGTACATCTTGCAAATTATTCAATCAACCAAGGTTATGTCAGTGCACAATACAAATGATCATCAACCAAGCTTACATCAGTGCACAATACAAATTATCCAATCAATTATAGTGGTGTGGAACATGGATACTCATTCAGTTCAAGCATTATGCACTTTAAACTATTCAATCAATAAGTCACATCCGACCTAGTAGTGAACAAAAGAACCAGGCAAACACGTGCTCCCAATTCCTTTACAGAAAATAATTTGGGACAATCAGTTTATTGCCACTCCCCCCAAAAAAGCATGCTCCCTCATGCATGCTCTTTCTGCTCTCTACTTTCTCTCTCTTCCCCATGGCTCCTCCTCCCACTGGAATAAAGACCTCCTGTGCACCTTGTTGCCTCTGGCATCTTGGGTTTGTGGTGAAAATTCCTAACAAGACTAGGATGGATTAGAAACTTCTGGCTTCCCTGTGGCCCTACCCAGTCCCTTTTGCTGCCATTTGGAGGAGTGAAACTGGATGGAAGATCTCTCTCCCTCTGTCTCTGTAACTTTGCCTTTCCAATTAAAAACAAAAATCTTTTTTAATCCCCAAAGATTTCATAGTATAAAGATACAGATACAAAGGAATGTAAAGTGTTCATTCAGTCACCAAAACAGAAGCAAAAACTTTTGTGCCTGACTACTCTAAGTCCAGAGGCAAAAAGTAAGGAGTGAAACAGCAAAACTGCCTGTCCAGGTGTTCACATTCCAGGGAGGCCAAATATATGCAAGCAAATTAGACAGGGCCCTGTTACGGCCCGCTGCGTGAGTAATGGGGGACAGGGCAAGGGGTCTGAGGGATTGAGGCACAGACTGGAGACAGGGATGGTGGAAGTCTCTGGAAACCTCCCCGAGGCTTCGCTTTATTGCCTCTCTCTTGACCTTTCACCTACTTCTTGTTTACGCTTTACCCCACACCCTCATTAGCGCAGATTGGCTACAGCTGAGACCAGGTGCTTCTAGCCTGAAGCCCACCGCCTGTAGTGCTCGGCTTAACGAGTGCTAGTCAACTCCTTAGCCCACAACAGGGCCCAACCTGGGGCAAATCAGTGACCACTACCACCCTCTGTTTCTGGAAGGGCTCATGTTGTGGCTTAGCTAGGAAAGCCACCACATGTGACCCTGACATTCCACATAAGCACACCTGGTTTGAGGCCTGGCTACGCTACCATTTTTTTCTTACATTATTTTTATATGTTTCATGATATACATTTTTTCAGATTTATTTATTTTTATTGGAAAGAGATTTACAGAAACAAAAGATCTTTCATCTTAGATCTATGACTGTGCAGGACTCAGAAAATGCATGCAAGTATACTGCTGTGATGTTAAGGGTTCTCTCCTTTTCTCTGTAAGTCTGATTTTCCAATATAAATAAATAAATAAATAAATAAATGGCCCAGCACAGTAGCTTAGTGGTTAAAGTCCTCACCTTGCATGCACTGGGATCCCATATGGGTGCTGGTTCATATCTCAGCTGCTCTACTTCCCCTTCTGCTTGTCTGGGAAAACGGTAGACAATGGTCCAAAGACTTGAGACCCTGAACCTGCATGGGAGACACAGAAGATGCTCCTGGTTTTGGATCACCTTAGTTCTGGATGTTGTGGCCACAACATGGAAAAACAATCTTTCTGTCTCTCCTTCCTCAAAGCCTTGGGACCCTGCACTTGCACGGGAGATCTGAAAGAAGCTCCTGGCTCCTGGCTTTGGCTCAGCTCAGCTCTGGCCACTGTTGCTGTAAGTTATTTAAAATCACTTAAATTTCTTACGTTATTACGTGCAGCTAATTCCTGCAGCCTGGTTCTTTCACCATAAGCCGAAAACACCAGACGCAAGGAGGTACTTTAGGAGGTTTATTCCAGCAGGGCAGGAACAGGATGGAGGTGGCGGGAGGGTGACAAGAAAAAGGGGGGAAGAGTGGGGAAGAACAGATAGTGTAGTGGTTAAGAGCCACACCTGGGAGCTCTTCGTGCCATTCAGGTGAGCCCACAAGGTGTGTGTGTGTGGGGGGGGGGGAGATTAGGAGGGATTGAGGGCAGGCCCCAGGCAATTGGTGTTTTAGACTGTCACAGGTGATTGCCTAAAGATGATTGGTAAGTGGCCCGGGTTGGGGAAGGGGTTGGGGAAGGGGTTTGGGAGAGATTGGGGGTGGGATTCTCAGGTGAAATGCAGGATTACATCTGATTGGAAGGGTGAACTGGTGCGAATTTCGTGAGTTGTGAGGAGCCGGAAATGGCGCTGGGTCCAGAGTAGATGTTCAAGTAACTCCTTACAGATGACACTTAGCAAGTGAACCAGCAGATGGAAGATCTTTTTCTCTGTCTCTCCTTCTCTCTGTAAATCTGACTTTTAAACAAACAAACAAACAAACAAATAAATGACTTCCACCTGCTCATTCATTTCCCAAAGAGCCGCAATGGCCAGAGCTGAGCCAATCAGAAGCTAGGAGCTTCTTCTGGTTCTCCCAACAGGTGCAGGATCCCAAGGCATTGGGCCATGTTCCATAGGCATGGAACTGGATAGGAAGTGGAGCAACCAGGATACAAGCCAGGGCCCAGGTGGGATGCCGGTGAGGAGTGGTTCGAATATCAGTCATGGAGACTGAGACCATGCCATCTTGGACCCGGCACCATTTCCTGCTTCCCCTTCCCCACAGCTTGTGAAATTTGCGCAGTTCTGGTTACCCATCAATCAGATGAAACCTGGCACCTTACCTGATAACCCCACTCTTCAGTCTCTGGCCCCTCCCCCTAGTCTCCACCCACCTACCTGTGGCTCAGATAATTTCAGCCACAAGGCCTGGGGCCAGCACACAGCCCACACAGCCCTTCCCTTCCTACCTGACTCTTCCCTGTCCTCCTGCATCTTGTTCCTTCCCCTGCCCTGGCAGTCCCCAACCTGCCACCATGGCAGGAGATGTGTCCCTTCCAGATTTCTCCCCCTCCACCCCTTCTCCTGTTCCTACCCTGCTGGAATAAAGGGACCTCCTAATATCTCATCGTGTCTGGTGTTTCAGCTTGCAGTGAACTAATTGTGAAAAGAGGACTTAGCTGCGGGAATTAGCTGTGTGTAACAACGTTAAGAACTTTAGGAACTTTAAGTGCATTTAAAATCTAACAATACCATATGTGGAGGTGGAACATTAGCCAGTTGAGCCAATGTGCTGGCCCCATGATACATTTTCGAAGGTATAGAGCTTCTCCTCTCCCTCCCTACGTTCCTTCTCACCATTTGACCCATATTGTTGTTGTGGGGAATTTGACGTAAAAGACAACAGCAACCTCGTTTCTTGTCTCACATGAAAGAAGAAATGTCATGCAGATAATTTCAGTGTAAAAAGCAAGAGCTATTTATGAGAGCGTGAGAGAGTGGACTCTTGCCAGTGGGAGGGGCTGCAAGGGAGGAAAGATCCAGGAAAACAGTGGATATGGCATCTTATCCACCATCTGAAGGAGGAGGGCAAAGGGTAGGGAACAAAAAGGCAAGCTGATTCACAATGGGCAGGAATATCTAGCACCTTGCTCAGAATAACAGGACACCTCCAGGGTGTTACTGGTGGCTCCCTTGTGCCACTCTGATAAGCTGAAAACTCAGGAACTGTATCACTGACAGCAGCTTGGAGATGGGGTTGATACAGGTGTTTGATCCTCCCTCTACACTGATTTTCTTCTTTTGCTCTCCCTCAAGGTAAACTCTAGAGTTCTTCTAGGGAGAACTTGCCCTTGGAAGGGTCAAAAATGGGGAGAAGCATGAATTTATTTATTTTAAGATTTATTTATTTATTTTATTGGAAAGGCAGATTTACAGAGAGAGGGAGAGACAAAGATCTTCCAAGCGCTGATTCACTCTCCAAGCTGCTGCAATGGCCAAATGAGCTGATTCAAAGCCAGGAGCCTCTTCTGGATCTCCAACGTGGGTGCAGGGTCTCAAGGTTTTGGGTTGTTCTTGACTGCTTTCCCAGGCCACAAGCAGGGAGCTGGAAGGGAAGTGGGGCAGCCAGGACATGAACTGGCACCCATATGTGATCCTGGCACATGCAAGGTGAGGATTTAGCTATTGAGCCATTCATGCTGGGCCCAGGAGTGGGGACATCTTGACAAGTATTGAGACACCATTGATATGAATCCTTTTAATAGAGCTTCTCAGGGACATCTTTGGGTTTAAATATCGTCAGAACTTTTTGCTTCAGCAACTAAGCAAGATTGGAGATGGCGATTCCCTCTGCGGAAATGCTATGCACTGATGCAAAATGATCAAAGGCTGAGAGAATAATGAATCTCAAGTAGGTTGCAGAGCCATCGTGCACCTGTGGGGAGAAAACAATAGGAATGCTGTCAGTGATGCTAGGTAACCATGGACGAGCTGTGAGGAGCTGTGAGCAGACATGCTGGCAGCATGAACATTAATATTCCAGGCTTGTGATCTCCAGAAGCTAAGCCAACCCAGGTAGAGCTGCAAACTACAACTGTGCATCTACAATTAGTTCTTATAAACTGTCCTAAAGCATTTTTTTATGGTAAGCTGTGTCCTTGGTTCATCATGCAGGTATATTGGTTTGGCCTCAAAAGGCCCTCCAATTTCCTGTCTCTAAACCACCCACCCAGTCTCAGCCTCCTTGTTTACTTGCAACTGCAGTAGCCTGGTTGGTGGAAGCCCCCAGAAGTCACTCACCTGTCACATTCTCCCTAAGCAGTCATCCCTTCCCACATTTCCAGACCTGCTTCCCTAAGCAATCCACAGCCTCCCATGTCTGCTAGCATGCAAATCACCAAGCACAGCCCTCTGGTAGTATGCTGTGGCAGCCTTGGGCCCTGCCTGCCTACCCAGGGCCCATGCAACCTCATGCATGGGTCTCCAGATCCTATTGGCATGCCAATGTCTGCCCCCAACATATATATAAAATAAGCAACTATGCTGGAACACTGGTATAGTTAACACAAATTTGGCATTAACCAGGCTCAGGATTCCCACTAGCTATTAGCTGCTTTCCTCCCAGCAGTGTACTAGGTACAAAGCAACATAGTCAGTTGCCTATAGTTGGGGGTAAATGTGATCTTGATTCTACAATCAGGAAGCTTGTGACAGAACATTGAGTTTAAAACGCTACGCAGATCTTGTGGCAGGAGGAACCTAGGGGGCCTGAGAGATTTCTCTCCCTATGGTGAGTACTCCATGAGGGAATCTCGGGAATGGGATTAGGTCTCTGGCCCTGCCCTGCCCTGCGGCCAACTTGTGGCAGGAGGAACCTAGGGGGTGGCTGTTCGTCTGTGGGGTTGGGGAAAAAAGGAGCCCTCAGCAGCATGGCAGCTGTGAAGGTTACCTGAGTCAGGTTGGACTCAGTGTTTGGGACTTCTGCCATGGATACCATCGCCACGTGGTGTGTGAATCCTCAGCTTTTGGGCGGCCAGTGTACTAAGTGGTGTGAATCTCCTCCTGCTGGCCACCTGGCGGCGACCTCTAGGATGTATGGGTATGTAATTGTTCCCTAGAGACATCCATGGATAAGGCCAATGTGAGTGTAGGTAAGGGATGAATCTAGGGACTTCGGCAATGGGGGTCACTGAAATTGCTGGCAAGCTTGGGGACTGAGAACTGGTCGTTTGGAGGGGAGAGTCCATAAGATCTGTTTGGGTCAGACTGATTCACCAGCCCATATGGGAGTCCTGACACAACATCACATGCACAGCATCACACGCCAGCCTGCATGAAAGCTATGGCTGAGGGCATGTCTGTTCTGAGTGTCAGAACAGGGGATGGGTCACATTAGGAAGAGTCATAACACCAATGGCGTACTCACCATGAGGGGAGAAATCTTCTTCTGGCCTCCCAACAGCCAGGACTCTCACTGCATGGTGATGGTGCCCATGGGCAAGTAGGGGGAAGTGGAGGGCTCCCCTGCTGGACTGCCATTCCTACTGGAGAGCATGAGCTGGGATGGGGGCAGACCAGACCAGGCAGGGCTACAACACCTGTGGGCCTCATGTGAGCTAGATCAGGGAAAAGCCAGGCTGCTCCTACTGGTACAAGCATAAATCAGAGTAGGTGAAGGTTGGTTGGGCTTTGTCGCAGCACCAGCTGGCAGATGCTAACACTGGAGGCTAATTCTGTCAAGTTAAACTGTAGAACTACCTGGAGAGTCCATGATGTGGGAGTGGACCATGTAGGGAAATAATGGGCATCTCCCTCTGGGGTTATCATTCCCACTGGAGAACATGAAAACCAGGACTGGGGCAGTAGTAGCTAGACAGAAGGGCACCCAATAGCATGTGTGTGGGCTGTATAGTTGGGCTGGTTGGGTTGAACTAGGCTTCAATGTGCATTGACTTGTATGACAGCTGAATTGATATGGGACAGACTGGACAGTCTGCTGTACATACTGGCAAGCACGGGAACCAGGGCAGGGGGCGGACCTGGTGGGGGTTATTGTGGGTCGCTCCGACTAGGCTGTAGTTCCCACTGGTTTGTGTGAGGGCTGAGTGTGTAATGAGCAGAATCAGACTGGACTGCAATACTCATTGGTTTGTGTAGAAGACAGGGGTGAAAATAAAACTGACCTAGCAATTGCAACTACCAGCATATGCATAAGTTGATTGAGGCAATGGACTATGTCGGACCCTATACTGGCATACACACAAAAAATCAGGTCTGGGATCACCTCAGATGAAGTTTCTTTGGGGATCCCTCCAATTGAACTGTTGATCTCAGAACCCCAACCACGAAGAGAAGTGCAGATTTCATGGTCTGACTATGGAGTGCAAGTGTCAAAGCTGAGCCTCCTCAGAGGTTCAGACAGAGCAGTGAACAGCATATCCAGGTACACATGGAGGATATGGCAGACCATCGGAACCTGCAGAGGATACCTGGTACCACAACAGAGGACAGAGGACAGAACAAATCGATCATCTACCCTAGCAAAGAGTTGGCAGTGAAAATCTGGGCAAACGGAGACTCTAAGGTGGACTATGTCAGTCAGTATATTCCAAGTCAGTCAGTCTCTCCAAGACTTCATCGTGCTTGGAATGGCAAGATTGGCAGCAATTCAGAACTGTTGAACTATCAAAACCTCTTGAGCAATGCTCTCAGAGCATGTCCCACACAGGGGACCTGGGATAGGTGGGAAGCGGGGTGAGGCTTCTCCCTTTATCTCCCCCTTTTACCCCAGATACAGAAATAATAATAATAACGTGGAAACAATGGTCTTACCCACTTTCCTGTAGCCCTTGACCCTTTGTGCCCTTTATCAATTATGTAAAGATTGTCAAAATAAAATGATTTTTAAAAAACCTGCTAGGGTCCGTGCAGTGGGTGTGGAGGACAGGAAAGTGTGTGGAGAACTGTTCCCCTGCAGGCAAAGTTGGGAGGAATTTTCCTCTGCATGGCAGGGCCCAGAGGATGTCTCTGCAACCACCTGAAGGCAGTTTCACCTCCTTTTGCGCAGACACCGGACCACCCCACTGAGAATTCTGTAATCTATTCAGGCATTGTTTGCCAGCTGCAGAGTTGGTTTTTGCTATCAACATCAGCATAGAAGTTAATGTTGCAACAGTGCCTTTTAAAATTCATGCTGTCTCTGCCTCTGTCTCTGCTGCCCCCATTGACCATCCTTCATCTTTAGGTCCCTCCTTCTGTGATGCATTTCCTCCCTTAACTGATTCAAGATGAAGTTGCAGAATGAGGATTGTAGCAGGAATGTGTTACTGATTGATATGCACTTCTATCGAGAACTTCCTGACAACAGGGTCAGGATGGATTATATCCTGCTTTAAGGTGAAATAAACAGCAGAATTATCTTTGGAAACACCCACTTGATCATGACGTAAAAAGTCTGTACCAGAGCTTGTGACTGCTTCTGTATAAATAAAGAGGACAGCTTTCTTGCATTGTCTATTATGATCATGAAATCGTCGTGGTCCATGTCTTTTCTCTCTATGCCTACTCCACATACTCTTCTCGAGCTCCGAACTCGGCTGGAGCTGGACTCTGGCAAAAAAACCATTATCTGGTTGTCCATGTGGGGTGTTGCAGGTGTGCAATGCACGTAGTCCGAAGGCAGAAAAACACAAGCACAGGCAAGGCTGCTGCGGCATGTTGCCAGCTTCTGCTCCCTCGGCAGGGTTTCCCCAGGGAGACTTCCTAAGCGCCTGCGAATCCTGAAAGCAAGTTAGCAAGCCAAGTGAAGGCTTCCTCATCACAACTCAGTGTGTGCAGACAAGAAGTCCTATCTCTGGACTGCCATTGGCCTCCTCATTGCCTGGGCAAACTGTGGTGGGAGAGAAGGGAACCAAGCAAGGGGAAGTAAACTCCCTACAAGCACTGGGCCCTTGGTGAGACCAACCCTGGCACCCACAGAAGCGCACCTGAGATTGTTCTCCTATTTGTGCTGCTCTGAAAGCAGCGCCTGGCGAGCCCCTGGGGACATGGGAACTCCTGATGAAGCAGCAGCTTCCCCATCAGCGGGCATTCATCTGCTTGACAGGCAGAGCCCGATGGAATGCTGTCGAAAACCCCTTGTGCCCTTTCCACTGCCTCTCGCTGCAACTCCTTTATTGCTGATCCCATGCTCCAGTTCCCCTATCTGAATTGCCCTTGTCCTTTCACGCTTACATGAGCATCCTAGTCTGACATCTCGCTCTCTTTAAATTTCTGTTCCAAACGGTCTATGGGAGCAAGTGAGATAAAGCAAAGCACAGATTTCAACAGAAATGAATGAGCAGAACATGATACAACCAAATGAGTGAATTCTGTTGCTTCCTTACTGTCAGCTTTCTGATGGGTAAGGGTCTACATAAGAATACCTCATGTTCATAACACCACGGAGAACCACCGCCAGAACCACCATCAGAACCTGTGAGAACACAGGCTATCTGCTAATCCTTCAGCTTGTGTGGACAGAGATCAGCCGCAAACACCTAGTGCTGATAGTCAAAGCTCATATTTGCCTTAACATAGAGTATTTACTTACCACAATTTCTTCATTTTGAAGTTGTCCCTCCGTGTGTGCTAAGTCTAAAACATAAATTTAATAGACATGAGTAAAGGTCTAAAATACAAAAAGGAAGGCTACTGAGATGTATGTTCAGCAAAACATGACTTGGCAAACAGTAGGTTAATACCTGACTTAAAGGAATTATCAGTGTTGGGGGGTGTATCAAATTTCATATAAAATCAGAGTTTATCTAAAAGGTAAAAAAAAAGACAAATTTTTATAAGCTCTTAAATACTCATAAATATTAGCAAAATGAAATGTAAATGTGAATTATATTTAAGAAACATAAATTAAGAATGTTTTAAACCATGAGCATCCATTTGTTGGCTCTAGCTGGCAACAAGGAGGCCTGACAAGAGTCTTCTGTCATTCCTGTGAGTGGCCATGAGAGCTCAGAGTCTCACATTGTATTTTCACTATGATGCAGAAATCTGTGCCCCATAAAAGTAACCCTTCCTGACATTCAAGTCTTTATTTTTTTAAAGATTTATTTATTTTGAAAGTCAGAGTTACAGAGTGAGACAGAGAGCCAGAGATCTTCCATCAGTGGTGGGCCAGGATGAAGCCAGGAGCCAGGAGCTTTATCTGTGTCTCCCACATGGGGAGCAGGGTCCCAAGCACTTGGGACATCTGGCAGGGAATTGGATAAGAAGTAGGGTAGTTGGGACCTGAACCAGTACTTATATGGAATGCTGGCATTGCAGGTGCATACCAGCCTCTTGGCATTCAAATTTTAAAAACCTTGACTTAGGTAATTGTGGGACAGATTAATTTATTTGATCATGAGTTAATAGCAAACATTCTAGAAACAGATACAACTATTGACATTACTAGACATTAGCATTACTTGAAATTGTAAAAGCCATAGTACAGAAAGCCGTCTCTGGAGGAAGCAAGCTTCTGTTTCTTAACCCTCTCGGGAGATCCTGAAGAACAATGACCCTGTATCACCTCTCTCCTACACACTTTTCCCCAGTGGGAAGACTGCAACTCTTGCACCTGTTCCCCTAGAACCATATGCTTGGCTTTCTTTCATTTACCAACTTTTTACTGGCTTTATACTGTGATAGATGAAAGCACGTTTCCTAACCCAGTCCTCCTTTCCTTCTCCTTCTGTAACTTCTCCCTGGTTTTATCCTCTCAATTTTGAAATCAATACTTGATGGTTATATTCATATAAATGCCATTCCCTATTGAAATAGGTAGTAAGTCAAGTTATGCTAACATTTTTGTTCTTACAAAACTTCTCCACCAGGAGTAAATAATAACCTTTTTAAAATTTTTTCTTTATTTGAAAGGCAGAGTTACAAAAAAAGAGAGGCAGAGACCAGAGATCTTCCACCTTTTTTTTTTTTTGAGGTGCAAACACATTATTGAGGAGTCTGAAGGGGTGGTGGAACTCAGAAGTCGTGTTGAGACTGGAGGAAATCCGAAGTCTGAGTTCGGGACCTTGCTCCCGCCACATCCCTGGAAAGAGATCTTCCACCTTTCAATTTACTCTTCAAAAGGCCACAACTGCAAGGGCTGGGCCAGGACAAAGTCAGGCCAGGAACCAGGAGGTTGTTACAGGTGTCCAATAAGGAGATAGGGGTGTAAGCACTTGGGCCATCTTCCACTGCTTTGCCAAGCACATTAGCAGGGAGAAGGATCAGAAGTGGAGCAACAGGGACATGACCAGGCGCTCCTGCAGGATGCTGGCATCATAGGTAATCGCCTCATGTGCACATAAATCAGCCTAAAAACCTCTTTTATTTCCTTACTTTTCCTGTTTTAGTTAGGAAAAACTAAGATATATAAGAGAGAACAGAGTGACTACTATATTTTCCCATCAGCTAGAATGGATAATCGCTAACCTTTCATCATAGATGTTTTCTTTTTTTTTTTTTTTGCTAAAATATATTTTTTTAAAGATTTATTTTTATTATTTTTTTATTGGAAAGGCAGATATACAGAGAGGAGAGACAGAGAGGAAGATCTTCCGTCCAATGATTCACTCCCCAAGTGAGCGCAACGGCCGATGCTATGCCGATCCGAAGCCAGGAGCCTCTTCCGGGTCTCCCACGCGGGTGCAGGGTCCCAAAGCCTTGGGCCGTCCTTGACTGCTTTCCCGGGCCACAGACAGGGAGCTGGATGGGAAGCGGGGCTACCGGGATAGAACCGGCGCCCATATGGGATCCCGGGAGTGCAAGGCGAGGACCTTAACCACTGCGCCACCACGCCGGGCCCTGCTAAAATATTTTAATCCATTTTATTTAAAAGTCAGCTATACAGAGAGGAGGAGAGACAGAGAAGATCTTCCATCTGTTAATTCATTCCATAAGTGGCTGCAACAGCCAGAACTGAGATGATCTGAAGCAGGGGCCTGGAGCCTGTTCCAGGTTTCCCACATGGGTGCAGGGTCCCTGGGGTTTGAGTCATCCTCAACTGCTTTCCCAGGCCATAAGCAGGGAGCTGGATGGGAAGTGGGGCTGCTAGGATTAGAACTGCACCCACATAGGATCCTGGCATGTGCAAGGTGAAGACTTTAGCCACTAGGCTGCTGTGCTGGGGCCTGCTAAAATATTTTAAAGAATTATTTATTTGAAAAAAAGAACAACAGAGAACGAGGCAAATCTTTCATCTGCTGGTTCATTCCCAAATGGCTTCAACAGGCAGTGATAGTCAAAGCTGAAGCCAGGTGCCAAAAACTCCAGGCTGGTCTCAAACCATGGTGGCAGGGCCATCTTCTATTGGCAGGAGCATTGGCAGGGAGCTGGACTGGAAGAACAGTTCCCCTATATGGGATACCAGAGTTGCAACCTAGACTGCTATGTGACAATGCCACTGCTACTAAAATTTTTTTCTTTAATATATATTTTTAAAAGATTTCTTTATTTTTATTGGAAAGGCAGATTTACAGAAAGAGGGGGGTCCCCTTAAATGTATAGAACTTAGGCTCAGCACAGTAGCCTAGTGGCTAAAGCCCTCACCTTGCCCACTCGGGGATCCCAAATGGGTGTCAGTTCATGTCCTGGCTGCTCCACTTCCCATCCAGCTCTTTGCTTGTGGCCTAGGAAAGTAGTCAAGGATGGCCCAAAGCCTTGGGACCCTGCACCTGTGTGGGAGACCCAGAAGAAATTCCTGGCTCCTGGCTTTGGATTGGCTCAGCTCCAGCCATTGTGGTCACTTGGAGAGTAAACCATCGGATGGAAGATCTTCCTCTCTGTTTCTCCTCCTCTCTGTATATCTGCATTTCCAATAAAAATAATGAAATTAAAAAAAAAAAAGAAGAATGGCAAGGAAGTAGTGATCCTCCCCTTCAAAGTTTCCAGTCTTAGTATGAGAACAGGAAGAAGCTATCTGTCCAATTTCTCTGTTGCCTTTTTGGTTTTATCCTAAGCAAACTGTCCTCGAAAGAGCCTACTTTGAGCATTTACTTGGCTTTTCCTCTCTTGGAGCTCCCTTTCTGATTGCAGCCATAGGAGGTTTCTCTCTTTAATAAATCTCACTTTGCACACTGATTTGTCCACATGGAAGTCCTTCTTTAATGTGAGACAAGAGCTGAGGCAGCAATTGCCCCTGTTGCGCCTGTTTCCCTTAATAGAAACACAGTGGGCTACTCTGTAAGGAAGCCTGTTGTTCTTTGCTGTTCTCTTCGATGAAAGCCTCTTGCTTCCACTTTGTTGGCTCAGGACTGACTTCTATCTCTCACAAAAGCAAGAACCCTACTGAGGCCACAGTGGCATACACAGGATCACTGACTGTCTAGGACCATAGACATCTTAGTTATAACACCAAAAAGTGGACAAACACAGAAACTGTACATGAAGAAGTCCAGGAATCTTTGAAATCAGTTTATGGAAGAGTTTGGAGAAGGCTAGAAAAACAACAACATATACTCTAGATAGAGTGTTACAGGAAATTCTGGTAAGCACTTAGAAGACTAGAATGCTGGTAAATGTGGGTAATGCAAGGCCAGCACTGTGACATAATGGGTAACGCCACCAGCTGCAAGTTGCCATCCCATATGGGTACCAGTTTGAGTCCTAGCTGCTCCACTTCCAATCCAGGTCCTTGCTAATGTACCTGAGAAAGCTGTGAACAACGGTGCAAATGCTTAGGCACTTGTATCTACATGGGAGACCCAGATAAAGCTCCTGGCTTCAGACCAGTAAAGCTCTGGCTGTTGTAGCCATTTGGGGAGTGAGCCAGCAGATGGAAGATCTTCTCCTTGTCTCTCCTTTTCTCTGTAAATTTGCCTTTTAAATAAGAATAAATAGATCAATCTTTTAAAAATGATGGTAGGCTGGTTTTTTTGGCAGAGGCAATTCCAAGGCAGTAAAGCCAGGCTGAAGCATGCGATGTTATCTGCTGCTGGCAAGTTTTATGATGAGAATCAGAAACAAAACGAGCAGAGCACAACTTTGGAAATCTGTGGATGGCGTTGTGGTGTGACAGTCAGAGGGGCTAATATGTAGTTAAGGTCACGTCTCTGTTGGAATGAGTAAAGGGGGAGTCTCTAAAAGTATACAAGACAAGGTAGGTGTTATTTCCATGTTTTAGATAAGCATTTTGAAATTCAGAGAGATTAAATAATATGTCAACGGTTATATAGCTAGTAGGTGCAGAAGCAGGCAAATATCCAAATCTGCATGTTTCTAGATCCTACCTAAATATGTCAAGGAATCATTCAAGTTATTGTTTTTCACAAAATGTAAGCCAGGCAGGAAGTGCAGAATCAAAGGGCAAAAAATCTCTGTGCCCAGCACAACCACAAGGCCATGTGCACATACCTTTTTCAATCCACTGCTCGAAATCTACCGGCTCCTTAGACGTGCTCTTCTCGATCCTCAGGGTCCGCACTGACAGTATAAACAAACACAGGATGTAAAAGATAACTTGCCTACTTGAATTTACGCTGTGCCTCCGTGTTTCTTTTTCTCTCTGCCTGACATTGTCATACACTGGTGGGTCTACACAGCACTGGGATTAAGAACACGATGTTCTGGGGGAAAAAAAGAAACACACATTCTGGAAGTTATTCATTGTGTGTTTCTATAAATCTCTATGGCAAAATATATTCCTGTGTAACTAATCTTACCAATGCTTACAATTACATACTACAGAAATAGTTGAATTTGGTATCACCATTTTTTTTAAATAAAGTAGTACTTGTACCACGATTATGTGGTCTTATTGCAAACTAGGAGAACTCACTGCAAATCTGGCATATTTGTTTATTTGTTCATTCACTGGTGAGTATACTCTTGGAGAAAGGTGTCAGTAACTGATTTTCTTGATGAGGAAACAGGCTGAGGAAAGCCAGGCTGGTGTCCAATGGCATGGAGCCAGTGTTACAGAATGAGAATCCAACCCTCAGGGCCAACTGGCTCCAGAGTCTCTTCAGGGAATGACAGAGGAGACGTATCAGTCATCTTTCTTCTGTATTTTTTTCTTTCTCCGCTGCTCCTGACCTAGTCCACACCGTACCAGATCTATTCCTCTCCTCTGTCCTGAGGGCCTGAGCCCGGTGGACTGCAGAAGCCTGAGCACACCTAGGGGCTGCAGTGTGGACCCAACAATGGAAGGCAGGCCGCAAGGCAGTGGACTGGTATACTGCCACTCCCTCCTACTCCAGTGCCATGTCCTTGATGGTACCTTGTCCCTTCACAGTGACAGCCTCTGCTGGGCAGAAGGCCCAAGCTCACTGGGCTCCGCTATCACCACTTCCTTCCCTGGTCCTAGGAGTGTTCATGGCTTCCTGCTGTGGCCAGTTGCTGAGGCTCTCATTATCAGTTGTGTGTTCCCTCTAACTCAGGCCATCATTTTCTAAGTGTTTCATCAATAAAGCCTCTTCTGAACCAGCTGGAATATATTCTGTTTCCTGCCATGATTTGTTTGCTCCGTTTTATCCTTCAATAAACACAGACAGAGTTAGAACAGGGTTCAGTGGGAGATTCTCTTCCTCAAGGAGATGCCACTGGTCATTAAAAAGAATCCAAAAGTATCACTGGGACTTGTTAGGGTTGTCATATTTTCAGCAAGAGTCTGACAAGAGGACCCAAGACTGGATGTGTCTAGAATATGAAGATGTCACAGAAGCTAGCACCCCGGCAGGATCACTTCTTATGTTCAGAACAGGACCTTTGGCCAAAGACTTTAGAGAGTACATGGCATGGAAACGATTATGTACTTCAGAAGTGCTTCAGCTCCACAGTTTCAGAGGGGCTGCTGGGTCCAAGGCAGTTGTGTCCTAATCTGCGCCTTCCCACCCCAGCAACCTCACTGGCTTCTAAGCTGAAAAGAACAATTACTGTCCTGCCACGAGTTCACATGTGTGCTCTAGGCCTACACAAATACTTAAGGATGGATGAAACCGAACATGCAATTTGCTCACCTAAGTAACTCTGGATGACAAGCTTTTCAATCCTTACATGTTTGTGAAAATAAATAATGAACTCCTGAGGAAACATTCCTGTGGTGGTCCAAAAGGTTTCTGGATTCCTATTAAAGGAAGAGGAACAGACAAAGAGACGTGGATAATTGTAACAAAAGTACTTTTTTTCTAGATCTTTTTTAAAGACTTATCTGTTTTTATTGGAAAGGAAGATGAGATTTACAGAAAGAAGGACAGACAGAAAGAAAGATCTTCCATCCGCTGGTTCATTTCCAGGTGGCATTACTTTAAGCGGCCACAATGGCCAGGGTTGAACTCATCTGAAGCCAGGAGCCAGGAGCTTTTTTTAGACCTCCCATGTCAGTGCAGGGTCCCAAGGCTTTGGGTCATCCTCTACAGCTTTCCCAGGCCACAAGCAAGGAGTTTGATGGGAAGTGGAGCAGCTGGGACATGAACTGGCACCCATATGTGATCTGGGTCCTTGCAAGACAAAAACATTAGCTAACTGAGCCATTATGCCAGGCCATGAACAAGTACTTAAAAAAAATAAACAACACGGCTGGCATTATGTAACATCTACATGCCATAAGAGTGCTGGTTCAAGTCCCCATTACTCTGCTTCCGATCAAGTTCCTGGAAATGGAAGACAGCTCACGTGATTGGGCCCATGCCACCTATATGGGAGACCCGGATGGAGGTCCAGGTTCCTGACTTCCAATGTGATCCAGTGGATGGAAGGTCTTTCTCTCTTTTTTTTTTTTTAATTTTTATTATTTTTTTATTGGAAAGGCAGATATACAGAGAGGAGAGACAGAGAGGAAGATCTTCTGTCCAATGATTCACTCCCCAAGTGAGCGCAATGGCCAATGCTATGCCGATCCAAAGCCAGGAGCCTCTTCCGGGTCTCCCACGCGGGTGCAGGGTCCCAAAGCTTTGGGCCATCCTCGACTGCTTTCCCGGGCCACAGGCAGGGAGCTGGATGGGATGCAGGGCAGCTGGGATAGAACCGGTGCCCATATGGGATCCCGGGCGTGCAAGGCGAGGACCTTAACCACTGCGTCACCATGCCGAGCCCGGTCTTTCTCTTTTTGTAAGTATATCTTTCAAATATATTTAAGTGTTTCTTTGAGAAAATCAAATATATCTTTTTAAAAAAAATCAGTAAACATTTTACAAAAATCAAAACAACTACTTTTTTTTTCTTCTAAAGGCATATTTACAGAAAGAAGGAGAGGAGAGAAAGAGGGAAAAACCTTCCATCTGCCAGTTCACCCCCAAAGTGGCTGCAACAGTAGGAGCTGAGTCTATTTGAAGACTGGAGCCAGGAATCAGGAGCTTCTTCCAAGTTTTCCTTGTGGGTGCAGGGTCCCAAGGTTCCAAGCCATCCTCTACTGCCCTCCCAGGTCACAAGTAGGGAGCTGGATTGGAAGTGGAGCAGCCAAGATATGAACTGGTGCCCACGTGGGATCCTAGCACACACAAGGCAAGCATTTAGTCAGTGAGTCTTTGTGCCGGGCCCAACAACTGCTTCTTGTAACCCTCTCTAATGGCTAATTCTGCTTGTAATCTCTCTGTAACTTGAATAATTCTTCCTTACAACCAAGTGTTCTAAAACACAGGAACATGGTTGGGCATTTAGAATGGTGGTTAAGACAGTCACATTCAAATCTATAGCACCTGGATCCAACTACTGCCTTGACTCCTGAACCTAGTTTCCTGTTAATGCATATGTTGATGGCTTGAGTAATTGGTTTCTTTCTTTTTTTCTTCAGATTTATTTATTTATTTCTTATTGGAGAGTCAGGTTTACAGAGAGAAGAGACAGAGAGAAATCTGCTGGTTTACTCCACAAGTGGCCACAATGGAGCTGAGCTGATCTGAAACCAGAAGCCAGAAGTCTCCTCCAAGTCTCCCACACAGGCGCAGGGTCCTAAGGCTTTGGGCTGTCCTCAGACTTCTTTCCCAGGCCACAAGCAGGGATCTGTAGAGCAGTCGGGATACACACTGGCACCCATATGGGATCCTGGCACATGCAAGGTGAGGACTTCAGCCGCTAGGCTACCATGCTGGGCCCAAGGAATTGGTTTCTTGCTTATCCACGTGAAAGACCTGGTTTGAATTTCTGACTCCCAACTTTGGCTCCAGCCAAACACTCTCCATAGAAGGCATTTGGAGGCCTGGCGTGTGGTCTAGCAGCTAAAGTCCTTGCTTTGAATGCGCAGGGATCTTATATGGGTGCCAGTTCTAATCCCATTGACCCCACTTCCCATCCAGCTCCCTGCTTGTGGCCTGGGAAAGCAGTCGAGGACGGCCCAAAGCTTTGGGACCCTGCACCTGCATGGGAGACCTGGAGGAGGTTCCTGACTCCTGCTTCGGATTGGTGCAGCACTGGCCATTGCGGTCACTTGGGGAGTGAATCAACGGGTGGAAGATCTTCCTCTCTGTCTCTCCTCCATGCATATCTGCCTTTCCAATAATAAATAAATCTTTTTTAAAAAGGCATTTGGAAAATAAGTAGATGGGATTTGTCTCTGCCTGTTAAATAAATAAATAAATCATAGACACAACTAATATTACTCCTGTCGGAACACCTTTAGTGTCCCTTTAACACCTATTAATCTAGTATAGTCATATGGTATGGCATATGACTATACAATGTAGTTCCTTCATTAAAGTGGATGTTCTCTTCTGTAACTGTGTCACCTCCCATCACTGTAGCCACACTGAGCCACCTAAAATTCTGAAACAGGTGATTTAGGGTTGTGTTTCTGCACCTTAGTTCATGAGGTTCTCTTCAAAAGCTTTTCTTATTCTTGAAAACAAATCAGTATCACCTCCTCCTTCCCTTACACTGTCTCACACTCCATATTCATTTCCAAACTGGCATTTTTCTGCTTTGTTGTTTTAATAGTATCATATATCCCCAGCTGTAGGCAACTGTACCTAGGCAAGTATTGTATTGCTGGGAAAAAAGCAGCCAGAAGCTGGTAGCATTCTAGACCTGATTAATGCCAAATTTGTGTTAACTATACCAGTGTGCCAGCAGAGTTGGTTATTTATTTTTTTAAGATAAGTGCAGAAGTTGGGAAACTGTGAGCCAGGACATGCCTCCAGCTCCCAGGTGGCCCAGGGAAGGGATCTGGGGATCTACTGGAGTGGGAGTAGCTGGGGGCTTGTTTGAAAAGGAAGGAATGATTTCAGGGGTCTTTCACAGGCTGGGGCACTGCACTTGCAGATAGGCAAAAGAGCTGAGATGGAGGGGTTTAGATGGGCCAAACTAGAGGGTAGGAGACCAAGGCTGGTGATGGGTCAGGCTTGGCTAGGTTGCTGCACCTGCTGGTGGGAGCTGGGATTAGGGGCAGGCCATCTCAGATTAGGCTGCAGCACTTGCTGATACATGCCAAGACCCAGGGCTGGGAGTGGGCATGATAGAGTAACTTCAGGGACTCCTTTGCTAGGCTGCTACTTTTGTTGATGTGAGAGCTGGGACTGATGGTGGGCCATGCTGGACTAGGCTATACATGCATGGGTACAGGCCAGCTGAGCTAGGCCACAGCACTGGCTGGCAAGTGCTGGGACTAGGGGCGAGTCATGTCAGGTTGGACTGTAGTACCCATGAGCATGCCTCCTTCTCAACTATGTAAACAATATTAAAATAAGATTTTAAAAATGTATCATTCATGCTTATTTATTCTATGCAGAACTGAGTAAATAGTTCATATTAAGGTAAAACTTCTGCAAATTGTCTTTGAAAAGCAAAACAAAGAGGCCGATGTTGTTGCACAGTAGGCTATGCCTCTGCTTACAGTGCCAACATCCCACACTGGTGCTGATTCATGTCCTGGCTGTTCCATTTCTGATTCTGTTCCCTGCTGATATACCTGTGAAAGTGATGGAAGATGGCTCAAGTACTTGCCCCTTGAACCCATGTGGGAGACCCGATTAAGCTCCTGGCTTCAGACCAGCCCATTCGGGGAGTAAATCAGCAGATAAAAGATCTTTCTTTTTCTCATTGCTTCCCTCTCCGCAACCCTACCTTTTGATTTATTTTGTTTTTTTATTGGAAAGTCAGATAACAAGAGGAGGAGGGACAGAGAAAAACGATCTTTCATCTGTAGATTCACCCCCTAAGTGGCTGCAACAACCAGAGCTGAACAGATCCGAAGCCAGGAGTCAGGAGCCTCTTCCAGGTCTCCCACGTTGAGTGCAGAGTCCCAAAGCTTTGGGCTGTCCTCTACTGCCTTCCCAGGCCACAAGCAGGGAGCTGGATGAGAAGTGGGGCCACTGGGACCCTGGTGCATGCAAGACGAGGACCCTAGCCACTAGGCCACTGCACCGGGCTCTGCAACCCTACCTTTCAAATGAATATATAAAATATTTTTTAGAAATGTGTGCACAATTTGACAATGCCTGATATTTTGTGTAAAATTGAAAAAAAAAGAGAAAGTCTTTTATATTTACTTCAAGATTTACTGTTTTTAGGGTGCTTAATTTCTGCTCATAGATTGAAATTTCCATTAGCATTATACCTCTTCAACCTATAGAACTTCTTTTATTATTTGCTGTGACTAAGGTGTTGATGAAGGATATGTTACCTTGATGTACAATTCTAAGTTGTAATTAGATTATCTCTCCTTTCCCCGCCAGCACTTAAAGGAGACCTTACCATTGAGTTCTGGGTCTGACTGTTTTTATGAAAAGTTGGCTGTCACTAGAACTATTGTTCCGTAGTATACAAGTATACAAGTATGCGTTTTTTTTTTCTGTAGCTATTTTATAAATTTTGATTATTTGAAGGGCAGACACCGAGATAGACAGAAAGCTCTTCCATCTGCTGACCTAGTTCCCAGGATAGTCCTACCATAGTCCAGGATTGGGGTCCCCCACATGAGTGCAGAGACCCAAGTACTCAAGCCATCACCTGCTGACCCCCAGGGGATGCATTAGTAGGAAATAGTACTGGGAGCAGAGGAGCTGGGATTTACACCAGGGACTGTAAATTGGGATATGAGTTTCCCGGTGGCATCTTAACTGTGCCAAATGACTTATCCTTCAGGGGTCAGTGTGATGGCTCCACTGGTTAATCCTGTACCTGCAAGTATGGGCA